GCATAGAACGGGAGGCCTTTTGAGGCGAGAGGCGAGGCGAGGTGAAGCGAGGGCGGCCTTTAGAAACCCTCTGGGCTTCGGGCCTCCTCGAGGGCCTACTGCTTCGCCATTTCTAGGAGCAAATGGCCGTAGTCAAGTACCTGCAGTGCACTGCCCCTTGATTTCCGGGAAATATTCCCTAACTACAAATAACAACGCCGTGTAAAGTGGGAACATTTTCCGGAAATGAAGGTGGCCGTTTCCAGTGGAGTGGATGCGGAAGCCCCGGCAACGCAAGTCGGTGCTTCATTATTTATCAGTGTGACGTCGGTGCGCATCGACGCGCACCGGATCGCGCGGCCGCGACTCCCACGCCCTTTGTCAGTGGCTCTCTCTCTCTCTCTCGCACTCACGGCCTCACGGGGGCTCGCGTGGGGGTGCGAGAGAGACAGCGCGACGAGGGCACTGCTCGGAATCGAGCTGCAGGGCTTGGCGCGAAGTAGCCCCCCTCCCCCTCCACCACCATGACATACAACGCACGAGCCGCCTGATCGTCCCGTCGCTCTGTCCCTCTCGCACCTCTACGGGACGGCCCGCAAGTGCGACAGAGACAGAGCGAGGCAGGCGATCAAGTAGTATCGCCGCCTTTCGCTCGAGTGGCCGACACTGGCCGACATTGTCCGAAAGACACGCTAACGCGGCGACGCGGCGACGCGGCAGCGGCACGGAAAGGACCACGCATTGTCTCGAGCAGCGCCAGCAACGCCAGCAACGCATGCAGGGATGTGGGGCGAAAGGGGGGAGGGGGTGGAGGGGGTGGAGGGGGTGGAGGGGGTGGAGGGGGTGACGACTCCCGAGCGGCCTGCTGCTTGTTGTCCAGTGTAGGCCCTCGCTCCGCCGCTCCGCCGCTCCGCCGCTCCGCCCCGTTGCCGATGCCTGCTACATTCATTGCCCCCCCCCCCCCGCGTCCCCAGGGGCCGAGCCGAGGGCAGTGCAGGTGGTGGAACGAGACGGATCGCTGCAACGCTATCATTCGCAGTGTAAAGGAACGGGGAGCGTGTCCGTCTCTGTCTGAGCGGAGGCGCGCCGCGGCCGAAGTCGCCGACAGAGTAAGGAGGCCGCGAGGGCCGTGAGGGGCGCACATGTGCCGAAGCGCCGAAACACCGGGCCCGGCTGTATCGCGGCGGCCTTTGCGTTTTACGCGAACGCTGACCGAAGGGCCGCAGGGCCGAAGCACATGCAGTCACAGCGGCCCGGGCGGCCCGGCCCTGTCCCTGTCGAAGGTGCCCCCGTCGAGCCAGGCCCCCTCTCTCTGCCTCTCTCCCTCTCGCTCCCCTTGCCCTTGCCGCCCCTGCATTCTGCGCGCCATTCCAGCGGGGCCCAGGACGACTCACTCGTCCTGCACGAGCCGGGGCACGAGCCGCCCTAAGCGGCCACTTTCTTTCTGGACAGGCGGCGCGCCATCCCCCTCCCCCCTCCCCCTGTGCCGCCCGTCCGGCGTGCGAATAACCCCAACACAAAACAACAGTGACACTGACTGCAGAGCCGCCCCCCTCTCCCCTCGGCCAAAGCGGGAGGAATCTTCGGCGGCAGAGAGAGAGGGAGGGAAGAGAGAAAACAAAACAAGGAACCGGCTCTCGAAGAATGGGAAGGCCTTTGCTTGGACGGACAACGAGTGAAAATTCGGACAAACTCATTATTTTATTTTAATCTCGTCAATGTAGAAAGGGTCGAACTGTACCTCCGCTTTCGCTGAGTGGTCTGCTCGACCGGTTCTTGAATCGGTGGACGGCCAGTTCGGCCACGAATGTGACTGTCGCCGCGAGGAGGCCCACGCCGAGCACCAAGAAGCACCCCCGCAGCTTGTGCAGGTCGAGCGCGCGCACGGCGTCGGAGGGCGCGGGGGAGCCGGCCCTGCGATGATGGTGGCGGGACAAGTGCTTGGAGAGGCTGTACATGCGGGTGTCGCTCACGTTCTGGAAGTGGACGATCCTGGACGCGCTGAGGCCGGCGGCGTGCAGGCGGGCCACGGTCCGCTTGAGGCGCGACTCGAAGGGCGCCCCCTTCTTGGCCAGGAAGGAGGAGTCCAGGAACTTGGCGTGCAGGGGGAACACGTGGAGCTCGTGCCTCATCGGCGCCAGCAGAGGCGAGTGGTAAAACAAGGACAGTTCCGTCAAGATCACGGCGGTGTCCCTCTTGGTCGCCGTGGCGTTGAGAACCTCCGGCAGTCTGCGGAACTCGAGTACTTGGAGCCTTTGGTAGAGGACGGCGGGGACTACAGTCTCGTTCCTTCGCCACAATCCGTCTTGGATGAAGACGGTGAGGTTGTTGGCGGCCAGCTCTTCGGCGGTCCAGATGTTGGCGGCGGTGCAGTGGCGCATCAGGTCAGACAGCAGCCTGCCGGAGTAGGCCGCCGACAGCACGACGCACACGAGCAGCCAGCTCCCCAGCAGCGACCGGCGCGCGGCACCGCGGGCTGCGGCGGGGGCCGCGGGCTGCGCCAAGAGGGGCCCCGCGGCGTCCAAGAAGGCCGAGGTCCAGCCAGCGCGGCCCAGGCGCCGCAGTGCGAACGCGACCCCGAGGCACGACACCGCCGCGCACAGCCACAGCGCCGGCGAGAGCTCGCTGATGACGCCGTCCACAAGACAGCTGCCCTTGCCGAGGCCGAAGGGCGCCACCACCACGGCGGCGTCCATGGCCCACGGGTACGACCGGTACATGTCGTGGGAAACGTGCACCGGACGCGCGAAGGCGAGGACGTCGAAGTCGCACGCCATCAAGTGGCGGCCCACGATGTGCCAGTCGCGGATCTTCTCCACGGCCGGCATGCCTTTCACGCTGGACAGGGCTGTGGTCACGTAGGCCGTCATCATGTCGCTGAACAGAGTGCCCTCCTCGCTGGTGAACTGCACCGCCGTCGCCGCGTTGCCCCGGAAGTAGCAGGGCGGACCGAGCCGCACGGCGCCCCGCTGCCAGCCCCTCTGCGGCAGCCACGTGTTCACCTCGCTCACCTCCAGCACGCTGTCCGGCTCTGCCGAGGTGGCGCTCTTGGACGTCACGGTGAAGAGGCTGGCCCTGCTGCCGGCCTCCGCGACGATGAGCGTGATCGGCCGCAAGGCGAACCACGCGGCGGTCGTCCGAGAGAGCTCCTCCACGAGGCGGCCGGCCCGCTCCGGCCGCTCCGCGTCGCGGTCCGTCCAGAGCAGGATCCGCGGGAACCGGCCGGTGTTGGTGTCCAAGAGGCTGAGCGCGGCCAGCAGGTCGCTGGGGCGGTCCTCGGCGACCACGATGTAGGCGCTCCGGTACGACATGGTGGCGAAGGCCCGCGGCGTGGGCCATGGCTCGGTCGGCCTCGCCAGCAGCACCACCGTGGCAGTGTCGCGCATCCGACTCATCCGACTCAGCAGCTCGTCCAGCCAGCGAGGCCGCCCCATGACGAACACCGCCAGCGGCGGCCCACTGTGAGCACTGCGCACCAGGGCCGGCTGCAGCAGGCTCAGCACACACTCGGTCTCCTCGGCGGCCTCGATCCTCTTCAAGGTGGCCGTGCTTAGCGCCCCTGCCAGCCCGGCCGCGGCCAGCACGCCGAGCACGCCCAGGAACTGCTGTCTCGTCGCCATCCCCGGCCGCTCTGCTGGGTCTGCGGGGCCATTTCCACGACGGCCGGCACCGGGGCCTTGGTGATTGCGCGTCCTTATGCCGTCACCGCCACTGCCAACACAATGAGGCACTTCACGTGCCCCAGCGCCCCAGCCATACAATTATTTTATCCGAAGTCGATCGCGATTGGGATCGTCTTCGCCAGCACTAGGCGGCGGCCGATTAGGTAAAGGAGGGTAGTTACCTCCGCGCCGCAGACGCATGGAAGGCTTCGCGCTTCCCACACAGCGGGCTGATTAAGAGCGTCGCTTTTGTCGCTCTGTCTCTCTCGCACTCACGGGCGACACAGAGCGACACAGCCGGACAAAGCGCTGTTCGAACCAGACTTCAGGGACTTGAGGCTTGGGGTTATTGCGGCCCCCTGGGTGCGCCTGGGCCTCGGCCTGAGCGGCGGGGGGCCTCGAGGAACTACTATAGCGCCGCGGCGGTGCAAAGGAAAGCAAACAAACGACAAAAAAATGAAATTGACGGGACGGGGCCTGCCCGCCTCGCTGTGAAAACCTTACCATGCCATTCTGTAAACGCGGCAGCGACAGATTAAAATGTGTGCCGAACACTGTTCTAATCTGTGTGTCTAGGACCCATGCAGTCTCGGACAGGCAAGCTCTTCTAAAGTGTGTGACTGGCTCGCTGGTTAGAACAGTATGCATACAGGCACACTGTTAAGAATAGTGTGCATACGAGAATTTGTAGGTGCAAACTATTTCGTCTATTTTGCAAAGAATCGTGTGGTTCTCAAATTTCGAAGTATTTTCTTCATGGGCTTATATGCTCAGAATACTCGGTAAAACCCGCCTCCCAGCCACGTAGGTGGGGCGGCCTGCCCTGTCTCTGCCGCGCCAGGGCCCGAGGGTCGAGCCACAAGGACAAGGACGGACAAGGACGCATCCAACAAGTGACTTGCACTCACTCGAAGGGCTCGAGGCCGAGGCTGAGCAGCTTTAGGGCCTATAGGGGCTCCCTTCCCTTCAGTGAGTGCCCGTCGGCTGTCACAGAGTCGCGGCGTCGCGGCGCGCAGCCCCGCGACCGAACAGGCCATGTTGCAGTTCTGGAGTGTGGCGGGGAGGGGGAGGGGCGTGTGGATGATGCGCTGGATGACAAAGTGCCGCAGTGCCGCGTCAGGCGGCTTTGGAACGCTTTGCAACGCCCCGCCCTGCCCTGCGAGAGGGACGCAGTCGAACGCTCGGCTCGGCTCGGTGAGGGTGAGGAGGTCGAAGTCGCGGTGGCGTCGAGAACAGTCGAGAACCTGCTTCAGGGCTGATACGATGACTCGGCTAAATGTGCCGGCCCTCTAGAACGCTGCCGTGAGCGTCCCCCATTCGTCCCCATAACACAGCCTCTGGCCGACGCGCTGTTCACAGGGCCCACCGCCGGGTCCCCGACGGACACCAGCCCCGCCGAGAAGCCCTACTCCATTTGGATCATCTGGCTGACCCTGTCCGCGGTGCTCTTCTGCCTGCTGGCGCTCTGCTACGTCTCCTTCTGGCTCGGCAGGGGGCGGCGCAGAGCCTCCGCCCGCGCGCGGCGCCGCGCCAGGGCGGCCAGGGCCGGCAGCGCCGCCAGCGAGGCAAGTACACTTTCAGCCAAGCGACTCCGAAGGGTCGTTCCGTCGCTCTGTCTCTCTCGCACCCCTGCGGGCCTACGGCTCGCCCCACGAGTGCGACAGAGACAGAGCGACGGAACGATGCGTCGGAATCGCCCGGCGGGGCGGGCACCACCGAACCACCCTTATCTTTCTCTGGACAGCATGCTTGCTCTGCTTGCCGCTTGTTTCGGGCACGGGACGACGGAGCATGCATGACGTGCACGCCGACGGGCCGACGGGCTGACGGCAGCGGCGCGCGGCGCGTTCCGCTGTTCGCGATGTTCTGTTCTGGGGCTGCTGGTGACGGCCGTAAAGGCGGGGCGGGGCGGGGCGGGGCGGGGCACGGAACCGTGTAATCAGGGCGACATTATTATTCTATGTATGCCATTCTTCATGCGCAACTGCATTGCCCGGTGACTCCCGCCCCTCCCCCCTCTTTTCGCGAACCGAACAAGGGCGACTGCGCGCGCCGCCCTTGAGTCCTCTGCCAGTCCCGCGTGCGAAGTGCGAAGAATCGTCCAAAGCTGCAGTAAATGCTTACACCTGACGGATCTGCCGCGCGACCCGACGCGCCCCGCCCAGGCCGCCGCCCGACACGCCAACATGGCTGTTTTATTAAAGGGCATAAGTCACCTCGGCGGGGCACCTCGACCCCACAACATCCGCCTGATTCCGAGAGTCGTTTCGTCGCTCTGTCTCTGTCGCACTCATGCGGCGTGCCGTAGAGGTGCGAGAGAGACAGGGCGACGGATCAGCCCGCGCCCGCAGCCCCGCCCCGGCGTCGATCCGGCCATGCTTCACTTAGCCGCCGTCACGCGGTTCGCTGCCGCCGCGCTCTGCTTGCTCTTGCTCTGCCCGACGCCTACACCTGCAAACTCGGCTCGGCCCCTCGGCGGTCTTTCTAACCTTGATTCTGTTTGCTAGATTGGCGCGCACAGACGCCTCGCCACGCCCAGTCCGTCGCTGTGTGCGGACGGCGACGAGGACGACGAGGACGTGCTGCTGGGGCTGCAGAACCTGTACGCCTTTGCGCACGCCCGCCTCAGCAGGGCCGGCGCCGCCCGGCTCAACCTGTACTACATGCAGGTGCTGTCGGAGTTGGCTTCCCGACAGGTGGGTCCGCGTCATGCGTCCGAAGACTCTGAAGCCGCTCTCCTTCGCGCGACAATCCAGGACCCTCCTCGAGGGCCACAGAGCCTTGGATGTAACCAAGAGGGTCACGCGTCGGCCTCGTGCCTGCTTAGGGTGATTGCCTCATCGCTCCGTGTCTCGCACCCTTAGGGGCAGCCCCGTGAGTGCGAGAGAGACAGAGAGACAGCGACGGTGCTCCGTTCGGAAGCAGCCTTCTGCTCCTGCCCGTGGCCACGGCAAAGCCCTTATCGTCGCCCCGATAGTAAGATTGAGCACGATCGAGTCAAGGCCTGTCAAGCCACCCCCTCCCTTTCCCTCCGCATTCCCTTCTAGCGGGACGACGTCGACGATGATCGAGGCGGCCGGGAGCACACGCGTATGCCGGAGACGGATTCCGCACAGCGTCTGGTCGCTCTGTCTCTCTCGCACTCACACAGAGCGCCCCCGCAGTGCGACTGAGACAGCGGCAACGTCTTGTGTGCCCGCAGGGTGTGGTCGCTGTAGAAGGGGATGCCCCCAAGGACGAGGAGCGGCGGAACCGGGGCCCGGACGACGGCAAGCCGCCCGCCTACGACGAGGCCTGCAGCGAGGCGTGCCTGTGTCGCCTCGGCGTCCTGCTCAGGTTTAGGCCGCGCCTCGGCCCCGAGCACCCCGCGCACTGTGGCTGCGTGGCCTGCGCCGTCCCCACGGACGTGATGCCGCCGACGGTGGCCGCCGCCGTGCAGCCCCCCACCTACGAGGAGTACATGACGGCGTACCACCGCGGGGGCCGCCTTGGTCGCCCGGCCTCGGCAGCCTCGGCACTTGAACCCTTGTCGTCGGCCAACTTCTGTGTTCGCGCCGACCGGGTCTTCGGAACCAACGTCGGCAGGCTTCTCCAGGGGTCGGATGAGACCCTGGCCTCGGCTACGGGCTTCGATGGCACGGCCGGACCCGTCTAGGAACTTGCAACGCTGGGAACACTTGGCCGCATGTGGTCAGGCCAAGTCAGACTATGTTGTGGAGGGTGACTAGTCCGGGATTCCTGATTTTTTCCTAACGAACGAGATGGATAGGTAGAGTTCCTTAAGGTCAGCTAATTCAGTCGCAAGAAATATTGGATGCGAGTGCTGCCTGTTTGCAGAGGTTTACTTCATTTACTTAAAATTTATTTTGTGAGAATTGTTGACTATTTGCTACTGTGTAGTTGTTTTTGTCTGTCCGCGGTGCGTTGCCATCTGATCGGCTCGCTACTACACTCAAAGAGGGACCACGGAGATAAATGCTGTGTGGGAAGACCAAGACTGTACGCAGCTAGGGCTCTGCACGCTGAACGCCTTGGAGGCGAACCGAGCAGCCTGGCGTACTGCGCGGTATGGCGGGACTGCCTACCCTCGACATGACAGGCGTTTTGCGGCCGTGGTGCGAAATTGAAACGAGATAATTTATCCCCACACATTAACGTATTTCGACACTTGTTATTTACATAAAATGCCACATACTCGTTTCGAGTAATATCTGTACTATTCACTATTCAGCCTCTCAGCTTCCCGCAGGATATTAGTTGATATGTCACCTTGTTTGCAAACTACTTATTTTATGATTTGATCAACTATGAGATAATGTGTCTTTTTTTGTAAGTATAATGTACATACTGTTTTAAAACATAATTTTAGTGCAAAGGATTCACACCAATCCTTCAATAGGGTAGATTGGATTGACAGGGGGTAGTGGCCTATAAAACTGGAAACTAATGATTTCACCCTAAAATTTTAGACAGTAATCTTTTCCAAGACGAGTTCTAAACAACGCCAAGCAGAAGCAGCTTGCGCAAATAAATTTAACCTTAATTATCTCTTAAAAATAAATATAATAAGTGCTTGAAAAACAGCAATATTAAAACTGTCTTATCCAACTATAAAAAATATTTCCAAATCTTTGACATGTTGACAATGACAACACACAAATCTAAAATAGTAGTTGCTCAGTTGTTGTTTTCAACAGTGATAGAAGAAGTTATCACCACGTTTTAATTGGTGATCAGGGCAACACCTACATGAAGAAAAGCAGTTTATGGAAGAGTGCAGACCTCAGCTTCCTGTTCAAACCTAGCACGTATGGATATTACCTTAATTGAATGTACTCCGCATCTCAAGAGGAGTTAAATAAAATATTCCAAGTACAAACTAAAATGTTTTAAATAAAAGGCACCAGTAAAATTACTTGTTTCAGACAGACCATAGGGTACGATCTTCAAATATGTACCAAGTGTCATTTTTCTTTCAGAAATACAAAGAAACAGATAATAGGCTTAAAATTTATTTTTTAATTTAATTCAATTTCATCCATATCGTCCTCTAATTTAATTTCACCACTTTTGTCCCAGTCTTTCATATCAGAACCAGTAAGAAAGTTATCTCTAAGTACATTCCATGTAGTTGGATTTTCTGGTTTAACATCCTGCAAAACATAAAACAAAGGGTGGGTGAGATATCTTCCAAATGCCAACAGCTACAAACTTGGCACTTGGCACAGAAAATTTATATTCTTACCTCTTCAGCTTTGGTTTGAATTTGATCCTCAACCCTCACACTCTTGGCACCCATCAAAGAGTTTAAAAATGATACTTTGTCCACTGACTTAAGAATCTTTTCCTCTTTTCTAACAGAACCCTTTGCCAATTTTATCTTTTTGTTGATGTCCTTCTGCTGTTCTCTAACAGCATTGAATAATTGAACAACTCCCCTAAAACAAGATACAGAATTAAAACTAAAATATATACCAGTATTATGTAATAATATAGGTGCATTCATGCTTGTGTCGCATCAGTGGCATCTGTGCCTTAATTCTTGTATCTGCAAATAAATCTAGGATGCTGAAGACACGAATGAGAATGCACCTTAATTAAATAAGCAAATGAATAAATAAAGGCTTTCTGAACTTCAGAAAGGAACTCAGTGTAAATTACAGTACTTACTTGGTTGCTATTTTAGACAGGGCTCTCTCCCTATCACGTGATAAAATATCTGGTTTTATTCTACCCTCTGATAGATCTTTTTTCTGTAAAAACACAACAAAATAAAACAATGGACCATGGTTTTTATCAATGAAATGTGTGATTTTCAGACAAGGCAAAAAGAGCTGCCACACAAGACTAGTGACACGTGACGTACCCTTAATTTAGGTTTAATGTCTTCCACATCAGGTTTTACATCTAAATCATCTACATTAGGTTTCACATCCTTCTCTTCTGTTGAATCACCATCTATCTCAAAGCCATATTCTTTTTTATCATCCGATTTCTCTGAAGCTCCAATCTGGCTCAATTTTTTAGCCTTGGCAAGAACAACACTTTTTTTTCCTTTAGGTTTAGACGTTCTGAAACAAACAAACAAACAAACCAAATCCTGTATACAATGCTGCTCAAAAATGTTTCAAACTCAATAATGTTAGTGGATGTAATAAATAGATTCTACCTCAAAATTTTAGCCATAGCATCTGCCCAGCCTGCATTCCCATGAAGGTTTGGATCATTACTATCTGCCTTTTGAGCCTGACCCTGAGGACTGGCTTCGTCGTCAGAGCTTGACAGGTTTGAATTGGATTCTTTATCATCCATTTCCATCCAATCTCCTGCTCCCAAATCACCATCATCAGAGAGATCTTCCATTTCATCGTCATCTTCGTCAGAAACATCGTCATCTTCACCTTCTTCCTGGCCAGAATCATTGTCATCTTCACTCTCATCTTCGACAGAGCCTTCTTCATGATCTTCCTCATCGTCATCCTCAGAGCTGTCCTCACCACTAGCTTCACCAGCATCATTTTCTTCTACAGAGCTCTCTTCGACATCATCAGAATTTTCACTGGCAATACTCATTTCTTCGTCACTGTCGTCGTCAATTTCCTCTACAAGAGAAAGAAACAACAGTGCAGTACAACAAATATAACCTTAACCTCCTCACGTGGCATGGACTTCAGTGTGACACTAACACGGTGAGTTCTAAGAAAATCACGCAAATACTGATGATAAACATACATCAAAAAGTGAAATGAACGTGTATATCTCAAATACTTACCATGTATCGGCTGCTGCATTCCCTTTTTCAGAGATTTTGAGATCATGTTTGCGGATCGCACCTTCATAGCGGCCATGATGTTTACTTCTGGAGACTCCCCAGTCCCCACCCCCCGCCTCTTCCCCTCCACTCCTTCCCCCGGCAAATCACCACGCTAGATCTTCGAAAGAACTACCGCCTTTCATGAACCTCCTTCGTGGGAACGTGTCTTTGGTGTCTTTCAACTTCAACGTCGACGGCCCCTCAATCCAACTTCTGTCTTTAACAGGGGCCTGTTCATTACGTGCTACTAGCATCTGCCTGATCGTGTAGTGTGGATCTTGGAAGTGTTGGCTCAACTAATAGATGTTAATTGGGCGGGCTTGCATAGATTATTTCAGTTGGGTAATGAGCAAATCTTAAATTTGTGCTCATATTTGCAAAACAAATGAGGCAAGGATAAGGGATAGTAAAGTTTGAAGCCTTGAATAAAAAATATGCCAGATCAGACAGTTTATTGAATGTGATCACATATCTAGCTTGAGAAAACTAGTGCAATAATTTCTTTTCACCAGGCTTCAACACACCTGACAAACTTGTAGTCAAGTAATACTAATCATTCACACAAGACATATTTACAAGTATAATAATCTTACAAGGTACATCATAAAGCCGAAGCGTTTAAAAAGTAAAACTTTTTAGTTATAACTAGCAAAACAGGCGTCACTTCTTGAAACACCCCTTAATATAATCCTAAAACGATACAAAATAGGTAACACTTATGTCCAATATTGGACAACACATAACAAATAATTAATTTGTAAACCTGCCTACCAGGATACAGATAATGTGTCAACAGGCATCACTGTAACAACGGTCTCAGTCAAAACGAATAGAGTTCACAGTCACATCAATCTGACCACCACGGTAGGTTCCACGTTTCTTCTTTGTCTTCTCATGACGGAAGGACTTTCCCTTAGTAAACCTCAAATCTTGGTTCGCCCTCTCACCCCAGGAACCTCGAGCACCTCTCTGAAACACAAACGTAATCATTAGAATTCGTCCAAGTTTGGCAATTTTACCCCAGTTAGGGAAGATTTTATCCTACATGCACAACCAAACTCACCAATCGTCAAAAGTGATCTTTTTGTTACTCCCACCGCCACCACTGGCACCCCCAAAGGACTTCTGGAATCCGCCACTACTTCTACGGTCGCCACCCCCGAACCCGCCACGACCCCCCCGCCCCCTTCCGAAACCCCCGCGACCACCTTCCTCACTGTCTCCAAAACTTCTCCTGAAGCCACCTCGGTCGCCGCCCCCGCGGTTGTTGCCTCTGAATCCCCCTCGGAAACCGCCCCGGTCCCCACCATCACGGTTGCCTCGGAACCCTCCGCCTCCACCGCCGCGGCTGCCGAACCCTCCGCGGCCACCCCGCCCACCCCTGTCGAAGCCACGACCCCTTCCCCCTCTCCCACGATCGCCACCGAACGACCCCCGGCGGTCCTCAGTCCAACTGGCGTCCTTTTCTTCCCCATTCTCCTACACAAACAGAGGAAGACAAACATTAGCAACGCATGAAAGTGGCAGTGGTGTAGCCAGGTGCTCACACGGGTTTCAGAAGCTTAGTCATTAAATGGCTAAAAGACACAACGCCAATAACTCTTCTGCACCAGGCACTTTCATGCGAAGCCATGTTTGCCTTCCTTGCCAGAAAAAGAAGTGGCAGGTTACCTTGGCATCAAATGAGTTATTGGCGAAGCGTGGATCAACTACAACTTCCTCCTGGCGCACTCTTCGGAATGGCGCAGGAGTATTACGGTCTGGAGTTTTAGACTTAGCTTCCTGAAACCCATGAGTAGCAGAATACAGTAATAAAACACATTGGATCAAGACGACAGGTCACATTACTCACCTCATCCCATTACTGGTAGCTTTGACGAAGTTGGAGTAGGGCTGCTTTTTCTGCAACAGACAATTATACAGTAAGTAAAAGAATCATCTCACATCGAAGCCGAAAAAGTTGAAAGAAACGAGACTCACAGCTGGGGCAGGGGCAGCATCATCATCACCATCTTCTTCTGATGAGGATGATTCCTTGCGCTTCCTCTTATCACCAGCTTTGGCAGCAGGTGTCCCTGGTTTAGGAGCTGGGGTTTCATCATCACTCGATGAGTCATCTGACGAACTATCATCCTTCTTAGGGGCAGCCTTGGGGGTCACAGCTAGAGCAATAACAATAACGTGAGAACTGGAAAAAAGGAAAATCAATTCACTCTAATACTGAGAGACTACCTACCTTTAGCAGGTGCAGCCTTCTTGGGAGGAGTCTCTTCTTCACTGCTGTCGGAGGAATCAGAATCATCAGACGAATCCTGAGGTTTCTTTGCAGCTGGAGTAGGTTTGGGTGTTACTGGTTTGGCTGGTGTTTTGGCTGGAGTTTTAACTGAGGTAGAAAAAACAAGAAAATAAGCCAGTGCTCACAATAAAAAAATCATCAGAAGAAGAGAGTGACAACTACCAGGTGTATCGCTATCGCTGTCACTGTCAGAGTCACTGCTACTGCTAGCGGGCTTGGCTTTGGTGGCGACAGCTGGAGCCTTTTGGCCCGGTTTGAAAGCAGGAGCAACAACCGCACCATCATCGTCATCACCTAGAGACAAGAAAGGTATGAAAACACTGGTACTGAGCAAAGTACACAAAGCAAAGGAAGTGTTGCTTACTGCTATCATCTGAAGAAGACTCCTCCTGTGCAGCTGCCTTGGGAGGAGCAGGCTTGGCCTGCTTTCCCTTGGGAGGCTCCTCATCTGAATCAGAGGAATCATCTGAAGAGCTAGATTCAGCCTTCTTGGCAGCGACTGGCTTTGCTGGAGCAGCAGCAGCAGCAGCTTTGGTGGCAACTTTGGGGACATCTTCCTCAGAGGAGTCAGAGTCGTCAGAATCACTGCTGCTTTCTTGTTTCTTGGGAGCAGCCTTAGCTGTAGCGGCTTTGGCTGGGGTGGCTTTGGCTGGAGTGGCTTTAGCCGGGGTAGGCTTGGCAGGGGTAGCTGGCTTCTTGGCAGGTTCATCATTATCAGAGCTGTCACTATCACTATCGTCACTGGATTCCTGTTTCTTCTGGGGGGCAGGCTTAGCTGCTGGTTTGGCAGCAGCAACAGGTTTCTTCACTGCAGGCTCATCAGAATCACTGCTGTCATCACTGAAACATAAATTTAAATAAGTACTAAATACTGACACCAACCTTAAGCAGGAGCCACCATTCGACAAAATAAATACATACCTTGAAGACTCTGCCGCTGCCTTGCCGTTCACTGGCTTCTGAACTGGTTTAGCAATTCCATTTACTTTTTTGGGCGCTTCATCTTCAGATTCTATAAAATAAGATAACTATTAAATCCATGAATATATACAAAACCCATTAATCCTAAAATTGGTTCCAATATATACCTGAACTGGAATCGGAACTGGAATCTTTTTTGGCTTGGCCCTTCACAACAATCTTCTTGGGTGATGTGCTGAAAAATGATATCCCATTAGGACAATGTACACAAAGCAAATAACACAGTTAAAAGAGTGCAAACACTAACCTTTGATAATAGTTCACCACATCAAAAATTGTGGGTGATCCTTTGGGAAGGCTTACCTGTAAGCAAAAATTTTCTTATAAATTGACTTAAGACTATACCCCAATATCTACTAGAAATGAAAAGATCGTGCAGTGCTAAGCGAGTTAACAACAAAACAGAGACCCAACAGAAAATGAACACTGGGAATGCTCTTGGCACTGAGGCACAGGCTGAGATAGCGCGGTACGCTTCGGAACTAAGTAGGAAAGTTTACAGTTATTTAAGTGCAGTGAATTCCCAAGCGCGACCACGCACAAAAATCAACGATCCGACAAGAAACAAATGTAACAATCAATAAAGAAAGACGCACAAGAGCCATGCTATTACGCCACACGTGGTAAACTCGTGGGCCGATGCGAAAAAGCCGCACTTACCGCTTTTGTCTTCTGTTGAAACAAATGCGCTAATGATTTGTCCTTTTTAGAGAGAAACTCGAACACAAGCGCGCACACACCAACTTCATCAACGGCGGCCATGGCTAGCGTGAAATTTGAACTTAGAAAACAAATAGAAACAATTTAGGCTCCGTTTGGAGCACGTCGAAACCACGCTTGATGCTCGCTCACACGCCTGCGCCTTTCAAGAATGAAAGAAAGAGCCATGAGGGAAAAAGAAAGGAAATAAGATGGGGGGCGGAACCGGAAACGGAGAGAAGTGACCAACTCTGACCGATCGATGGCAGAGAAAACGAAGCAGCGAAAAAGCACGAAAAGAAAAGAAGAGTCTTTTAAATCTAAGTGTTCAGCTTTCTTTGGAAATATTTATCTTGCCGTTTGCAAAACCTTGTACTGATTATCTAATTTTGTGAAAAACGTTTACGAGCAGAGATAACTGCTATAGTTTATTAGATAAACAACGACCTCTCTCCTCTATCGGGGATGTAACTCAGCGGTAGAGTGTCTGCTTCGCATGCTGAAAGTCCTGGGTTCAAATCCCAGCATCTCCACCTCTCTTTTCGGCGCCGTGCATCTCATAGAATCTTTTTTATGGTTACTATTCATTCTACTCTCGGAAATGTGATTTATTCCGGAATATAATTAACTGAAAGAATCAAATTATTTCACTGGGAACACTTTGTGCAGTCTGAACTTCGGTGGCGCAATGGCGACATTCGCGCTGTCTGCTATCCGCTCCTTTCAAAATAGTATCAGGTGAGAATTTCGCTATTACACCTTAATCTGTTTGACTTCGTTAACTTTCCACGGTTTATTTTATGGGCCGAAGCTATGAGATTGTCTCGTACACGCTTCCTGTCCTTCAGGAAGTGCATTTTGACGTTCAACCTAACCTCGTATGAGTTTCATATTTGCTTTGCTTTGATTGGCAGGAGTCATAAGATTGCGGGAGGCACGCTGCGTAATTTCCCAAATGGTTTCTCCAGCAGTGCAGAAGTATCTACTCAGACTTCAAATAACAACAAAGCTGAATTAGAGCTCAGTGACACATGTGTGAAGAGGCTTCAAGAAATAGCTGCCGATGGTAGTTTCTTGCGAGTCACTGTTGAAGGGGGAGGATGCTCAGGATTCCAGTACAAATTTGAACTGGATTCTACAACCAAAGACGATGATCGGTAATCACTCATTAAAGATTTTCACCAAATAATTAAGGTGGTTCCCTGTACTTCTATTCTTTAAATTTTGTTGCAGAGTGTTCACGAAAGATGGAGCAAAGATTGTTATTGATGAGACCTCTCTTGAATATGTGAAGGGTTCTGTGATAGATTTCCACACTGAGCTCATCAGATCTGCTTTTCGCATTCTTAACAATCCTATGGCAGAACAAGGGTGTTCATGCGGGGCATCATTTTCTATAAAGGTTTGATGCATTGCACCATCAATAGGAACTAAAAATTGAATCCCCTAAATTATTAAATACTGTATCTAGAACATTAGTTATAAGGGCTGTGAAATAAATTATCATTATTTATGTCCTATGCTATCCCACTTCCTACTTAAAAAAAAAAGTATGGATGTAATGTGATTTTCTGCCAATGTAAATATGACAGTTCTTTTAATTAACAATGACTAAATAAACAGATTACATAGCTTACCATCACAACAGTAGCAAAATTGATTGTACAAAAACAATATTTTTCATAATAAAGACATAAACAAAACTGATACACATAATAAAAATATACTATCTCACAATCTATATCACATTACTGAATTACAGGGGAATTCTCAAATGTATTCTGATAAGTAAGGATAAATTCTGAGGTATTCCATTCAGAACCATTGATTTCCCAAAAATGATAAAGGCATGAGGCAGACATGCCCCTGACTCAAATATATGCAGCACACAGGTACCTTTCATACCTGATTATATCTATTTTTGCTTCCCCTTTTTTGTCTGTGGGTGGAAACAAAATATATCAATATCCTTTGTCTCAAATTTTTGCCATTGGAATTACATGTTTCAATACATACCTTTGATTGGAATTTCAGATGGTCAATTGTGTCCTTCTGAAGAGCAAGCTTTTCATTCATATTGGCCAGATGCTCTGTCATGACTGCTAACTGTGAGTCAAAGGTTTGTGTGGTGGATGCCAATTCTTCAGACAGTTTAGATGCTCTCTCTTCACAGGCTTTCCGACTTTCCACAGCATCTTCAAGTCGGGTTTTGAGCACAGCACACTGTGAAATAAATACAGCTTAAGAATTTGAAAGTATCAGAATACAACCAAAAAAGAAAAGAAGAGAGAACTTGATAGCAATCTCACCTCTGACATGTATGTAGTGGCTTTGGCTTCAGAAGTTTGCCAACGAGCAACATGTTCATAAAGCCGTGTGCGGAAATAATTTTTTACCTGTTCCTCCCTAGCTTCAATTTCCGCGGGAGTAATGAAAGGAGTAGTGTGTTTTCCCAGCTGAATTTAGCAAGGGAAGAATTAATGCAGACATTTCCAGAAGAGCTACTGTTGAGTATGCTATATTCTAAAAGCTTACCAAATTTGTCACAACAGAAACTGCAGACTCGCCATCATTGTTTTCTGATGTGGATGTACTGACCAAATTTTTCTTGTTACTCTAAAAACAAAACAAAACAAACAGAGATATTACCACAGAAATTATTATAAAAACTGATAAGGTTTGCAACTCAATTGGAATGCATATTTCTAGACTGGTATATTGACCTCATGTGGTTCGTGATGCAAATGAAGCAAATGATATTCCTCCTTCCAATGCTCACGGTCCTGTTCAACCTGTGCAGCTAATTCTTGCATGTTTTGCAACTGTGACATTAGTGCTTTCAAACTTGCTGTCTTACTTCGGACTTCAACTTGAACATTCAGAGCATCCTCATACGGAATGGATGGAGGCTCGTCCTAAATACAAAAATAGTTCTTAACATTAAGAAACACTATCTGGCTGGAGAACATAAAAAATATTACATGGTTGCTGAAAAGCCAAACCTGTTCCAGAGATGACAAATAGTTTGCTGCTCGTTTGCGGAAAGCTGTAACAGTTGGATGCACTTGTTTGCCATTCAGTGAAGACCCACTAAGCGACATCTGATAACCATCCAAAACCTCCACAATCTGAAAGTAGATGGGGAAATTGTACAGCCACAACAACAGTTTCGGGTTCAGAAAAAATAAAATAAAAGATTGGAGCACTGCAATACCTTCCCAGAAGAAATAACAGCAGAAGCTAAAGTACTCAAAATACCATCTGCATCTTCTTGAGCAGTTGAAATCATTGCATTGCCACTTTCCCTCTCCAGGGCAAATTTTACAGTGTAGGAGCACAGCAGCTCTAAAATATACATTGCAAACACAGAACAACATAAAATCATTCTTTAAGCAATTGATAACTAGAAATTTTGAGTGCCCTCCAATATTTTTACCTTGGACAGCCTGATGGAAAACTTTTAATGCTTGAACTAGTTCTTTCATAAAACGCTGCTGAGACTGTACGGGATGCTGAGAGTGCCGTCTATCTGCAAGACATAAACAATATATAAAGGATAAGAAAAAGAGCAATTAAGAAATAAACCACAATTTGAATGGCTGTTACTTACTCTGACCCGCTAAAAGGTGCACATAGCCACAGATCTTTGACACTTGAACAGAAAGATAAGCAGAGCATGAAACAACATCTCGACTTGCTGTTAGAATTTCCTCAGATGCTCCAAATAGAATGCATTCCTCCTCAACACTGAAAAAACAGTTACATTTTTATTATTTATTATATTATAAAACTTTTTACTTATATCTTTCAAAATGCAGTAATTGATAGTGACCTTAGTTGACAGTATGGCTGCAGCTTTTGAAGGTAGGCACTGTATGAGCGGAGAGGACCACTAAATGCTGACAGAGAGGGTGCAGTATCAAGAGTCCAGCTGTCACATTCAAGGCCTTGCTGGAAGTCGGAATACCCTTGCCTTAAGTGGTGCAGTTGCCTACCACTGTCTTGCAGGTGTTCTGAAAACTAAACAAAATATTGTTCACAAAATGATTAGGTATCCAGAGTGGAAAGGGCCACACAAATAAATATATGATGCACACCTTTGAATTTAAAGGACTGAGAGATGAATGAACAAGTAATAGTCGATTTCGCACATGAGAATGATACTTTTCAAGAGCACCAGCCAACTCCTCAAGATAACTGCCAGCCTGATTGACAATACGAAGCACGTGAGCCTGTTGACTTCGGTCATGATGAGGGACATTGAGCTCATTGAGATCTCTATCACCTGCAAAAGGCATACAATTTAGCACTGAAAAAAAAATCCAGAGATAAATAGTAACAAGTAGTTCTTACTTGAATCGACAAATGGAAGGTGAGTCCGAATGATCCTTGTTGCATCCTCTAATTGAGATGTAAGTTGAAGCCTCTGAGAGTTCATCTCTCTTGCATGAGCTGTTAATTCAACGTTTGATTTCTGGAGGGCCTCCACTCTCTGATCCAGTCGATTGCTCACGGAATAGGATGGTGTCCCAGCAGGCGCAGGTAAACTGGCAGCACCTAGAGCAGAAGCCTTTTCCATTTCAAGCTTAGATACTGCTCTCTGAAAAGATAAAGTAAAACTTATTTAAGTTCTGGTTAGAAGCAATTCTGGATGGCTGGCATTGGATAAGCTATATACCTTATGTTGTTCTTGTTGAGTTCGTAATTCATGTTCTAGCTGTTCAATTCTTTGATTCAGATGTTCTATGTCTTGACTGTGGGATTCCTCCTTGTCATGTAACTGAATTTGGAAATTGAGAGCAAATGAGTTACACCTCAAAAATAAATTCGTACAGAAATTGAACAATGAGTACCCACCAAGGAAAGTAATTTTGCATTCTCGGTGATAGACTTATGTAGTTCTTCTCCCATCACCTCATTGCTGCACGCACTGTTTGTTGCTGGCTGTTTGGTTTTGCTCTTCTTGGCCTTGCTCTGAAAGTTTGAAACAATAATAGTGTGAACTTGCTTTTGGACATGTACCAGCAACTGAACATGCAAAGGGAAAGAAACCATTAGACCAACCATAGAATCCAATTCATCTTGGAGCACAGTCACTCGCTTAGTAAGTTGCTGATTTCGGAATGAGAGGCTATCCATTTCTTGCTCAGCTTTCCGTAAGCTCTGCTCTCTCTCTTTCAACATATCCCGGAGGTCTGAATTTTTCGTTTGTTCATCTAAAACTGCCTTCTTTAGAACAGCAACTTGAGCACGCACCTTAAAAGACAAAAGGATGGTAATTGATTTTGACTAATGGGAAAGGAATACCTCACATAAGAAGAGGGCAGCAGACCTTTGAATATTCAGATGCAACCTTTTGATACTTGGTTTGTAAGTCACCGCCAATGCCGTCCATGACTATACAGTTATCATAAAACGAACTGAAACAAGATAATAAACACAAATTAATAAACTCTTTTTTCTTTCAATGGTTTAAAAAGGTACTGCGTAAAATACCTTTCTCAAGTAGGAAATTTGCAGTGGTGTCCAAACTAAAAATGAAACACCAAAAAAATTACACAATTAAATGGTCTACCAATTGTTAAATTATAAAAAATGCGGATTCAATTTATATTATCTGATAAGACGAAACGATTTTGTTTTAAATGCCGGGATTCGAAGTACTGAATCTGTCAGACACATATTTGTAACCTGGAACATACTAAAAACTGGTCATCACAGGTACCCCCTTACCTCTTAAATGGAAGCTCTGTAGAATCTCCACGACATTTCTCGATGCGAGGGAGTGTACTAGGTTTAGATACAGTTTAAACGAGTATTTAGTTTGGTACTCGCACTGGTAGTTGGGTTATGTTTCATTGAATTGTGGATGTGGGTGTCAACCAACGGGCGGGCGGAAGTGGGGAGGGGTCTGAGAGGGGGGGGGGGGAGGGCAGGGAGCGGGAGGAGGATGTGAGGCTAGATTACAGTGGTATGCAAAATTTAAGGTCCTTGTTTAGGATTTCGTCGAGAGCAGCGCGTTTTTCAAAAGGGAGCTCTCTGCTTGTTTTTCGTTAAAAAATACAAGCGCTTTTGTGCGAAAAAATAAAAATAAAAGCCGTTGTGGCACGCCTGAACTGCAGCAGCCGAGTGGCCCGCCTGAATCAGGCTTTCGATTCGCTTCTGATCACTTCTGATCTGCGTCCTGGCCCGAGTGAGTTGGCTTGCCTACCTTTACGGCGCTACGTGCCGTCGGGCTGTTCGTTATCAAAGAGGGATTTCATTTTTAAATAATAAAAAAAACTCATTCAACGAACGTTAATGAAAGCAGATGATCCGTCTCGTTTCACAACTGCTGTGATAGCCGAGAGGTTAGTGACGTGGGATCGAGTTACCGCAGGCGGGCGTTCGAATACCAGCGTCACATACGTTTTTTCGACTTACTATCCTAAGGGTGGTGGTTCGAGGCCATCCGAGCGGAGCCGTGTGCAACAGACCCACATGCCGGAGGTTCGACTCCTAACAAATATTTCCATTTAATTTTACTGCCTCACCCAGTGCGGTTGAAACCCGTGAACGTGAGCCCACTCAATGCATGGGACGTGGTGGTCCAGGGAGGAGAGGCGTCGGTGCCCAAAGCTAGGGTCGGCGGTTCGACTCCCCCAACTTCTTGCGAAATTTTGACCGGGTCAGTCGAGTCCTGTTGCGTCAAGAACCCACCTCACGCCGGTCCTCTCATCATGGGCCGTGGTGGCCGAGAGCGTAAAGTCGTGTGATCCCGGTGGCGGGGTCCGGGGATCGAATCTCATCATTTCGTTACATTTTTCGACTGCTTTCCTCCCACTGCAACTCAAACCCGTCGTCCAACACGCTGCCAGACGTACAAGCGTGATAGCGTAGTGGTCAGAGTCACATTCACCTGGCCACTCCGCTGTGGGTGTCTAAAAAGCAATCCGCTTCGGCGGGTTGGCCTCGGCACTGGAGCGATGGAGTATTTGATCCATCAATCCAGACCATCCGGTGTGTGGTTGCGGGTGGTGCCTCCTTGACTCGTCGGGGAGGCGATGATAAGTCCTTTGAAGCTGGCCTAAAACGCTGTATGTTCGGTACGGGAGCGCCGGACAGTGGGGGTACCATGGGGTACACAACCAACCCTACGAAAACAAGAAGCTCCCACCAAACCTCTTCTCTGTCTGAGTCTCTCTCTGTCTCTCTGTCGTCTCACTCTACGTCCCGCCCCTCAAAGAGCTTCGTACTGGGTGCTCTCACCCAGCTGCCTGAGCTTTGGGGTCCTACTGGGTCCCCCGGCGAACGCTTAGAGTCGCTGACGGGATTAACCCCAGGTACCTGATAGCACCGGTTCCCATCCCGAACACCGAAGTAAAGCAGGAGGCCTCCCCATTAAGACTGGGGAGGGGGTGTAGAGTTCAAATTTTTTTCTTTTCCCTTTCAAATTTCTCAGTCAATACTCGTTCGGAACTAGCCGTGCCGAGCTGTGGCCTGCACCGCCCGCCGCCGAGCTCGAGCTGGCCCGAGTGCCCCGGGCCGGGCCGAATCGGGAGGCATTGTTGCGCGATATTCCGCGCCGTGGCAGGCATTGGCACCAGCCCCCTCTCAAGTGCTGCGCGGCTCTGGTGGCGAGGGCAGCCCAGCCAGGCCGAGGGGGCCGATCAGCTGTTCGTTTGAGAACGCCGTCTTCTCCCAATGATGTGTTCGGCCCCGTCTCCCCGTCTTCGGCCCCACACGAACTGCTCCGAAGCAGCAGCTTGCGCAGTACGAGTAAATGCCGCGGCCGCCGGCCGCGGCCGGCTCGGCTCTCGCCGTGGCTCGGCCAGGGCTCGGCTGGACTCGGTATCTCTCCGCCACTCGACTCGTCCGGCGCAATAACATTGCTCTACGCCCCGCCACGCCACGGGGCCGCGGCTGGCCGGCGTGGCGACTGGCAGCCGAGCCGGCAGGCCTGGCCGCGCTGCGCTGCGCCGCGGATTTCAGTACCCGTCGCTGCCCCGCGCGCGTCGGACGGGTTCGTGCAGCTACTCGGTACCACCGCGAGTCGGTGACTGCTCGTCCTCGGAACGTCGCGAAGTGATTCATTCCCCGCCGTGTTGCCGGTCGTGTTGCCCGCGCACTTTCGTTGTGATTGGTGTGCACACGCATGCGTGCCGGTGGCTTCTGCCCTGGATCTTCCGCGTGAAATCACTGTGTTGAGCGGCGCTTAAGCACGGTGCACTTGTGTCGTTCTTAAAGTCCCACCAGTGTGTGCTTTCTGCCGCTGCTTGGCCTGTCCCGGGTGCAAGGAGGCCCGCGCCCCCTCTCCAGCCCGATGCCTTCCGCGGGCATCGCTGCCTCCACCGCCTCCACGCGGCTGGCCGCGGACTGAGGACAATCTTATCGCCGGCTGCAACTGCCACTGCAAGTGCGTAAGACTGCTCGACGACGATAATTGAATCATTCCCATTCCGAATAACCGCAGGAAACGCAAGGCCGAGGTTGTCAACGGGGGAAACCCCAAATCGGCTGACGAATTTCCCGCCAAAACTTTGGATCCTCCTCCTGGGTCCCCTTACGGTGCTGTGGGCCATGGGGGCGGCCCCGGGGCACAGGGCGAGTGCATGTCAGCCATAACGCGACCCGTTAGGTGCCTTCGGCTCGCCGTCTCGCCCTGCCCTGCCGCCGCCACGTGTGAACGGGGCCGTACACGGGCTTGGCACGGCGCTGTGGTGTTCGCCGTGCGGTGCTGAGTCTCGCTGGACGGACTCGCCGAGCGTGGCGGCAGTCCCATGTCATATGTGCTGCCCTAGCCCGCGTTCGTTCGTTGCAGCGGTGGGGGAAAATTATTAGGCACACAGACAGACGGGCAGGCAGTTCGGCGGTCACTCCGTCAAACCAAACACTGGACTCTACTGAGCACCAGGCGTGTCCGTGGTTTGGAAAGCAGCAGCGCTTGGCGTGTGTTTTTGGGCACTCGGCGCCCCTTTGACCGGCCTAACCTAACCTGCCCACCTGCCCCGGCCCGCGTGTGGGGACGGCTCGGGGAGCTCGGAGGCCCCACCGACTGCATGGCCACATTTCGCCGGTGCTGTTGCTCGCTTGGCTGCCTCGCCGGCGGCGGCGTGGCGTGGCGCGGTGGCGTAGCGGCGTAGCGCTGCATGGCGCGCCGGTTCTGAGAAAGCGTCCTGGTCATGGCTCCGCGCTCGGCTCTCGGCGTGACCCGCTGACACCGCGCCAGGCAAGACGGCGCGCGGACCAATCAGGAAGCTGCCTTTCGGGCGGGAAGTTGGAACCAACAAGTGGCAACTGCTTTGGCGGAGCTGTGAGCTTGCCGTTCATCCTGTTGTTGGTTTGGTCGAAAGAGCCGCCTGGTTGCTTGCAACGAATCTGCGCGCAAGCCGTGTCTATTTCCGTCTCCGCCTTGCTTCGCCAGTGTATACGTCACGTGGTCGGCCGCGTGGCGTCCAATCAGTTCTCGTCGCAGCGCAGCGCCATGCGTGCTCCAGTAACGCGATCGACGGCGTGGTGGCGTGGCCGGGCGCGGCGCGGTGATTCACCCGCCGAGCGTCCTGTGTCCGAGGCCAGCCGAGGGCCGTCTTCGGCGCGGCATGTATTTCCGCCTCGGCACCGCCTTGGCTGCCATCTTGGCTGCCGCCGCCGGCTGGGCGCTCCAGTGACGCGGCCTGATTCTATTTGGGATCTCGGCCGACGCCGCCATCTCGGCCGACGCCGCAGCCACAGCGCGCCGCAGCCGTAGCTGTTGAGGTTTCCATAGGTTTCGATGGTCTTACAACCGGCCAGGGGTTTGTCAGCTTGCGTCGCCGCCCACGCCCACCCCGCCGGCTGCACGGGGTAGCGACGAGGGTGGGCCGCAGATGCCCCTCGCGTGCGCGCGGCGAGGGGTATCTCCGACTTCTGCTGCATTGGGTGATTCCGATGGCGCTTTTCCGCGCCGTCTGCAGTCGCAAAGCCTTTTGCTTGGTCTGCTGGAAAACAGCTGAAGGCGTGCGGGCGAGACTTTGACTTTGACTGCGGCAGGCTCGGACTGGCCAGGGCAGACAGGCAGAAAAATCTGCCGGGGCCTTTGGATTTGTGACCAGTAACGTCACGAAGTTGGTCAAAAAGTGATTGAATCTCCGAAAGTGGCCGTTTTCGCTGAATTTGAGCGGCCACTGCTTCGATCTAGTTGCAGCCAACGGCCTCCCTCGACGTCCTAGTATTCTTAAGACCCTACTCTTTCATGCCCTGTATCGGGAAGACGTTGACCACAACGATTTTGCCTTTGACCGCAACGATTTTGGGACCAAAGTTGGTCAAAAAGTGGTCGAATCTCGGAAATTTGCTGATTTTGCTGACTTTGGGGGGCCACTGTGTCCAATCTAGTAGCCGTAAAAGGCCTCCCTCGACGTCCTAGTATTCTTAAGACCCTACTCTTTCATGCCCTGTATCGGGAAGACGTTGACCACAACGATTTTGCCTTTGACCGCAACGATTTTGGGACCAAAGTTGGTCAAAAAGTGGTCGAATCTCGGAAATTTGCTGATTTTGCTGACTTTGGGGGGCCACTGTGTCCAATCTAGTTGCCGTAAAAGGCCTCCCTCGACGTCCTAGTATTCTTAAGACCCTACTCTTTCATGCCCTGTATCGGGAAGACGTTGACCACAACGATTTTGCCTTTGACCGCAACGATTTTGGGACCAAAGTTGGTCAAAAAGTGGTCGAATCTCGGAAATTTGCTGATTTTGCTGACTTTGGGGGGCCACTGTGTCCAATCTAGTTGCCGTAAAAGGCCTCCCTCGACGCCCTAGTATTCTTAAGACCCTACTCTTTCATGCCCTGTATCGGGAAGACGTTGACCACAACGATTTTGCCTTTGACCGCAACGATTTTGGGACCAAAGTTGGTCAAAAAGTGGTCGAATCTCGGAAATTTGCCGATTTT